TTGAGAACACTAATGCCCTTCTGTTAACTGATTTTTCCTTTCTGGATGATGTGCTTTGGTGTGGGTCTTTTTTATTAATTGGACTTGTACTCATTGGACCTTTGCAACTTGTAGCTTCATTTCCTTCCATTTTTTTCCTTCTCTGTTTTATTTGTTCTTTCTGGAACTTACCTGGATCTTGAACTTTTTGTGCTGGTCCTCTTCCCCGCCCACCCCTCCCCCACTATTTTCCATTTCCTTTTTGTTTTACTTTCTGGGGGAGTTCCTCAGTTTTGTTCTCAACTCTTTCATTTATTTTTACTATTGTATTTTTAAGAGCTCTTTTGCCCTTTGGAAATAGTGTGGATGGTGGTAGTTTTAAGCAGCCCTGGTTTTATAAATGGAGTATCTTGTCTTTGAGAAGATTAATAGTTTTTTGGGTTTGTTTTCCTTTTCTAATCTGAGCATCTATTTCCTTTGAGTTTCTTTTTTCTTATTCATATTGGTAGACTTTGGTATCTGGTGATCCTTGGTTGTCTGTCTTAGTTCTTAAGAATGAGGTACTAAAAGTAAATTAGAAGCTTTGTGTCCACTGGCAGAGATATTCAGCTTCTCTGTAGGGTGATGAGCCAGGAACCCACAGGTCAATATCTCAAGATGAGAAGGAACTTCTAGTGTCTTATCTCAGGGGGAGGTGGGGAGGTGGGATGGGTCACATCTTAAGCCTGGCTGCTGACATTCTGGGAGCCAGTAAGATCACCGAGCAACTCATGGATTAGTATGCAGCCTTTCACTTAATCTTATTTTTAATTTGACCCCTCACCACCAGCTTCCTCTCAAATTGATACCTTTCCTAGGTCAGGTTCAGTTTCTCCAGGAGGTAGTCTTGTTCTCTATTTTAGAGTCTAGCTTCTCTGCATCTTGCATAGATATTTCACCCAATAGCTGTTTTGAATTTCATGCCTCACTGCAGCCCTCCAAGGTGCCTGGTGCTTCTGTGTCCTGACTTGGCAACCCCTTTTGCATGCTCAGAGGTTTCACTTTATTTTGCTGAGTTTTTTGTTTTTCAGCACATTGTTGTTACCTTCCTTCTGCTGTTTTGTTCTTATTTTAGACTGTTTTTATTAGTTTACTGTCATTTTAGTGCAATTTAGAAGATAAATGCATGTTTTACATCTACATGTTTAACAAGTGTATCAATAAAATGTTTATAGTTTCTTTTCATTCACATCTAGAACACTCGGTAATCACTTTCTATACAATAGAAGAGGGGAATTCACAGAATTTATATAAAAGTAGATTTGTTTTCTTAAATCTAAATTCTGATATTGTGTACTTTTCTTTTCTTTTTTTTTTTTTTGAGACTGAGTCTGGCTGTTGTTGTCCAGGCTGGAGTACAGTGGTATGACCTCGGTTCACTGCAACCTCCGCCTCCTGGATTAAAGCAGTTCTCCTGCCTCAGCCTCCTGAGTAGCTAGGATTGCAGATGGCTGCCACCATGCCTGGCTAATTTTTTTTTGTATATCTAGTAGAGACGGGGTTTCACCATGTTGGCCAAGGTGGTCTTGAACTCGTGACCTCAGGTGATCGACCCACCTCTGCCTCTGCGCTGGGATTAGAGGCTTGAACCACTGTGCCCAGCTTGTGGACTGTTTTTAATGGCCTTTCCTTTCTTCAATTAATAGCAAAAAATGATAAAAATTAAAATAGCTTTTGTCTAAGATACTAACCTGCATTTTTAGACCTAAATTTCAGGCAGGAGGCAGTCAGCCAAAAGCAGTGAGGTTTTAAACAACTTAATATATCAGAGAAAACTTTAGCTTTCTTAGATAAAAATCAGTTTATATTTTTTTACTCCTGAAATAATTTTAATTAATACATACGTTTGTCTTAGAATGAAGACATTTGTCATAGACCTTTTGGGCTGCTGTTAACAGAATACCACAGACTGGGTGGCTTACAAACAAACAACAGACATTTGTTTCTCACAGTTCTGGAGGCTGGGAAGTCCTAGATCAAGGTACCTGCAGATCTGGTGAGGACCTACTTTCTGGTTCAGAGACAGCTGTGTCTTGACATGGCAGAAGGGACAAGGACTTTCTCTTAGGTCTCTTTTATAGGGACACACTTATCCCATTCATGAGGGCTCTACCCTTATTACCGGATCACTTGCCAAAGACCTCCCCTCCAAATACATCATATTAGGTATTAACGTGTGAATTTTGTGGGGGACGAACATTTAGTCCATAGCAACATAAGGTAGAACATAAGATTATAGTCAGTTACTGATTGCAGGGCAACTAAAATATCAATTTTCTATTGGGAAGATCATTTGTCTTGAAACTAAAACACAGGATTAAGGGAGTAAGGGCTTTCTTTGTTTTTCATCAGGAATACTCAGACCCTGTTACTAGTAATATAACATTTGTATTGTAGATTTAGTACTATGCTCCCTCTGCCTACCCTGCAGGTCCTTCCTGTCATTCTCCCCTTGCTCGCTGGTAGGTCTAGCCACAGGAGCTTTCTTGAGGGCTTTGAACTTGCCCCTTTTATTCTGAAATAGACCTTCCTTCGTAATCTTGACTACCCTGTGTAAATTAACTGATTTCCATTCCAACCCCAAAAGAGATGTACATTTAATGTTACATGTTTTTAAAATATCTTTACTATTATTTGAAATGGTCTTATTTATTGTTTGCTTGCTTATTGTATGTAGGCTTCTTTCTCTCCAGTTTGTGAGTTTCACATATGAGGAAATCCTGATTTTTTGTTCTGAGATTTTCATTCTTAGCATCTGTAACATTTTTAGGCACATGACAGTATCTGGCATTTAGTGGGCATTTGTTGAATGGATAAATTCTGCAGTGTGTAATTTCATTTTAAAATATATGATAACTTAGTTTTTTATTTCACTAAATGTACACTTTGTTGTTTAAAATAGGGAAATGGATTAAGCTAACAATTAGTAGCGCTTCCCAGTTTTTTGAACCAGTAAAAGGAGACCCAGACAAATCCCCACAGTCACACAAGCTAGTATATGTATTATAGACCAAACTACTTTAAAGACCCACATACATAGTGGTTCAAAAAATTAGCTTGTTTCTTTCTCATGTGACCATCAGTGGTAGAGAGGGGTCTGAAGTGGATAAGCTGGTTTTACCAGAGATCACCCAGGACTGCAGGTTTGTTCTGCTCAGGGTCTGGGTGTATTGCTCTTGTGTGCATGGTCAGATCTGGCTCAAATCTGTGTTCCTAGCCCATGGGGGAGAAAAAAGAGAGAAGGGCAAGTAGCTACTTTTTAAGGATGTGACAGAAATTTTATTCACAACCCATTGTTTAGGACTTGATATTAAAGAACCATGCAGCCTCTAATTTCCTGTTAAAACTGTGTGTATGTGTGGTTTTTTGGGTTCTGAGGGTGAAGGTGCCAGGATGTACCATTACTAAAGGAGACAGGGGGAAATGGCCACTCTTAGGGACGATTAGTCTCTGCTACAGCTAATAATTCTTAGAACTTTTACTCAGGACTTTGTTCGATCCTCTTTACTTCCTCCTTCCAATGTTATTGTAAAAGCCTTATAGGATCCTAATTCAAATAGTTTAATGTTTTTTATGACATGAAACAATTGGAAATTTGAACAGTTGCTGGATATTTCATATTAAGGGAGTGCTTTTGAATTTTTTAAGGTATGGTAAGGGTGTTTGGTTATATTGAAAATGGTGGTCTTTTAGAAATCTTTCCTGAAATATTTATGGGTGAAATAATTTGATGTCTGGATGTACATGAAATAATGTGGCATGGGTTTATAGATGAAACAAGACTGGCTATGAATGTATAATTGTGGAAGCTGCATGATAGGTACACAGGAATTCCTATGATGCTCTTCTACCTACTTTTGTGTATGACTGAAATACTCTGTAGTGAAACTTTTAAAATATCAATTTATGCTGATACCTCCAATTTAAATTGATACCGCGGGGTTATTCCTTACTTCCCTTATTCTGTATTTGTGCCTTTTGGCTCTCACAGTGAGAACCTTAGTTCCCAGCCCTGTAACTATTTTTTTGTCAGAATATTAAGATGGACAGAACCTGGATATTTGATAACATTAAGCCAGTGAATTAACTAACCCTGGGTTTATTTGCCATACCTTGGGACTTTTTATGTGAGATGGCATTTTTTTTTATTGTGGTAAAATACACATAAGGTTTACCATTTTAAAGTGTATAGTTCTGTGTCATTAAGTGCATACAAATATGTTGTGCAGCCATCACCACCATCTATCTCCAGGACTCTCTTCATCTTCCCATACTAAAACTGTATACCCACCAAAACATTAACTCCTCATTCCTGTCTCCCCAGCACCTAGCAACGCCCATTCTACTTTGTGTCTCTATGAATTTGACTCCTAGATATTTTATATCAGGAGAATCCTATGGTATTTGTCTTTTGTGGCTGTTACAGCGTATGTCAGAATTTTTTTTCTTAAGGCTGCATAATCTTATGTATGTACCACATTTTGTTCACTCATCTGTTGATGGACTTTTGGATTGCTTTCACCTTTTGGCTGTTTGAATAGTGCTGCTATGAACACTGATCCTCAAGTATCTGTTCAAGTCCCTGCTTTGAATTATTTTTGATATATACCTAAGAAGTGCAGTTAGCGTAGCATATAGTATTTCTATGTTTAACTTTTTGGGAACCATCTTCCTGCTTTGCATAGTGGCGGCATCATTTTACATTTTCACTAGCAATACACAAGGGTTTTAATTTCTCATTAACACTTTCTACTTTTTTATAAGAATTTTATACTTCTAGGTCTTTAGCTCTTTGATCCACTTTGAGCTGATTTTTACTATGATGTAAGGCAAGGGTCCATTTTTTTTTTCTTTTGTGTGTGGATATCCAGTTTTCCTAACACCCATGTTTTGAAAAGACTGCTTTCCCCATTTGTTGGTCTTGGCAGCCTTGTCCAAAATCATTTGACCATATGTGCAGGGGTTTACTGAGCTCTCTATTCCTTTGATAGAACCCATTAGGGGGGATTTTTTTTTCTTTATACAAAAAGTGCTTTAGGGATTTTGTTAGGAATTAAGTCTTCCAATCCATGAACATGGAATGTCTTTTCATTTATTTATGTCTTTATTTTAGCTGTGTTTTATAGTTTTCAGTGTAGAAGTCTTTTGTCTCCTTGGATTAATTTATTCCTTAGTATTTTATTCATTTGAATGCTACTGTAGATGGAATTGTTCTCTTAATTTCCTTTTTGGATTGTTCATTGTTAGTGTATAGAAACAACCGATTTTTGTGTGTTGATTTTATATCCTGTATCTTTGCCAAGCTAAGTGATTTTATTAAATAAGTGCAGTGCTAAAATGTTTGAAAATCGCCTTTCTTTCAACACCTCACCTGGAAATCTGGTGAGATCAGGTTTGACCCTTAGGCACTGTGTCTTACATGTGCTGTACAGGATAGCTGTTTGTGTTGGTTATATCCTGTACAGTCATATGTGGTAGACGTATGTGTGTGTCAACTCTCTTGTTCTCTTGAGTATTCGTCAGCAGAAGACAAAAAAACAGAATCCTGATTATTTGGCAGAGTCTACACTTTGTACTCCAGGGTATCAGATCAGAAAATATGTTGCTGCCTGATTCAGTTTTGGTTGATTCTTCCGCTGCAATATCATTATATGTTCTCAGGAGATAGAGTGAATAAGCTATTGGGAGATGGTAAAAGAGATACATGATGTAGGGTAAGGTTTTTTAATTGTTAAACCAGAAGTGGGTATATTTTGGTTCGTGAGTTAAAATACTGCTGGTATTCTAACTCATGATTAGTCTTTAAGTATTATGTATGTTCCACAGTGCCAGGTGCCCACTGCTGGACATGCAGTTGTAGGCACTTCTTTATAACTCTGGTTAGTTTATCCTCTCTGTGCGATTAGTTCCTACTGCTGAGCAGCTGTGTCTCCCTGCCTTTTGAGATTGTAGGTATATTGTTAGTGTTGCTGTGCTTACTAAGTTTTGTAATGTTTTAAACAGTACCAAGTTTGGTGGCATTATTACTTTTTTTTTTTTTTTTTTTTTAAAGAAAGCAGCAGTTACTTAAATTAACATGGTAGAAAATATCCTGGGGTTTGATGGTGTAGATTAAAATATCTTTGTTTTACCCAACAATAGAATTGAATTATATGGCTAGAACGCCAACAAGCACTTCCTGTCACGTTTATCAAAAACAGTCTTTTAAAGAATGTGTAGAGGGCCTTACTTAAACAAATAGCTTGTATTGACTTTGGGAGGAGGATGGTTACCTAAGCCCATGTGTTAAAACAGACAGATGACACACTGAAATGACCAGTGAGCATAATAAGGAGAATTCAGTATCCTTGGAAACCCTGGAAGGGTGCCATAACTAAACTAAAAAAATTTAGCAGGAAACAGTACAAACAAGAAACATTGTGAGGGAGGTCCTTAGTGTTCATTTCTGTGGTTGTGAAGCACGGGTAGGAGTAAGTGACAGGACCTACTTTGAATAGCCAGAGTTAGAATTGAAGGAGGAGCCACTGGACAGTTTTTTCATGTATTCTGTACTTCGAAACTGGGATGAAAAACTAAATGACTCTTACCAAGAGAAGTGTGATCAGCAGAGAAGGAAGAGACTGGACCATGAAGCACAAAGTTGAAATTCTGCCCCCAAGCTGCCTTCTTTGTCAGGCAGCCTCTTAAGGTGGCCCCAGTGATCCCTGGCTTCTGGTGTTTATGTCTCTGTGTGACCTCCTCTCTCTGAGTGTTTCTGGACCTCTCGTGACTTGCTTCCACAAGTGGGGCAAGATGCTGGGATGCTGCTTCAGAGGTTAGGTTACAGAAAGGTTTTGGCATCCATGTTGGACTGCCCTGTTTCACTTGCTGAGGGAAGCCAGCTGCCATGTTTGTGTGGTTCCCTGTGGAGCTCACGTGTCAAGGATCTGTTGTCTCTGGCCAACAGCTAGTGACCTGACATCTGTCAGCAGCCAGGTGCACGAGCTTGGAAGTAGATTCTCCTCCTCCAGTCAGGCTTTAGGATACCTGCAACTTTGTGAGAGACCTGGAACTCAAGGCCCCCTGGCTGAGTCACACCCAGATTCCCAACCTGTTGTGAGATAATAAGTGTTTGTTGTTTTAAGCTGCTAACTTTGGGACAATTTTTAAGGCAACAGTAGAGAACTTATATAGAAAGTAACAATGTCAACATTTCCCCTCCTAGGTCTGAGATTTGAACTTGGTTCTAAATGTGTTTTCTGGTTGAACTCAACACAGTTCCCAATATTACATAAACAGGCCTTTTTCTTTAAAGATGCATACAGAAAATGATAGACACATACAGACTCAGTAGGTACTGTAAAAGAAGTTGACCAGTGTGAGCAATAACTTCCCATGAAATAGACTTAGTGCAGGAAACAAGAGAAACTGTTGAAGTTTAAAGAGCAACTAATTAGTTGCTCTGGGAAACTGATGAGCATTTGAAAGAATCAGAGAGCAGGAAGGAGTTCTTAAGTGAAATCTGTGACTCTTTGGAGTGAAGTAGCAGCAGGGTTTTAGAAATACTCCCTCAATGCAATGGGGAAAAGAAGTTGAAAATTGTAACAAAAATATAAGGAACACAGCATTTGTTTTCATTCATTTTCTCAGTTGCATTGTGCACATTTCAGGTGCTCAGTAGCTGTGTGTGACTAGTGGCTACTGCACTAGACAATGCAGAATGGAACATTTCTATCATAGAAAGTTTTGATGGACAGTGCTGTGGTAGAGTGTCTTCCAGAGAACTCTGAGGAAAAAACTATGATAAACTAAGAATCCTAAATGGATGAAGTTATCCTTTACATAGGCAGTGCAACAAGATGACTTATAGGTGTGCAGGAACTCAAAGTATTATCACTCTGACTACTTGAGGGGGAAAAAAAAAAGACTTAAACACACCCAGCTGAGTAGTTAGCATCTCAAAAGCATGATAAGTCAACTTCAGCATTGTGTAACTATGTATCCTGTTTCCCAGAATAACCCAACAGTTACGTATAAAAGTAGGGGAACATCTTCATCTTTGGTATCTGTTGAGAGGATGCCCTTCATAAGCCAAACTTCAGACTGTCAGAACGGTGGTTTCAACTTAGTTCAACTCCAGAGCTTCTCCTCTCCTTTTGACAACGATAAAGCCACAGGAAGCAGCAGTTTTTAAAGACATTAATCCATTGAAACCACTTTTGCTGAAATCACTAAAAAGTCTCCAAGTCACCAAAACCAAGTTTCATTCTCAGCCCTCACTTTACTTGATCTTTAAGTACCTTTGGATGCAATTCATCACTGCCTCCTTTTAAAAACACAGTCTTTGCCTAGCTTCCAGAAAACTTCTTTCTACTCACCAGTAGTTCCTGTGCAATCTCCTTTTTTACCTGGTCTCAAGGCTTAATCCTTAGCCCAGACCTCCGGCTTTCTTTATCTATACTTATTCACTAGGAAATCACATTTAAGTGTCATGTGACTTTAAATGTCTTCTCTGAGCTGATGATACCTAATTATATCTCCTTTTCCCTAATCTGCTGTCAGATCAATCTAGCTGACTATGTAGAAAACACACAGTTTCTTGCACAACACACTTCTGATAACATATATTAATATGTAAGTTTTTCTCTGTACATCGAGCAAGCAATCAGTTTTGCAGCAGACACTGGCTGGATGTCCTCCAATTCAGTTCCAACACTGTCTACCTGGAAATAGCATCATATTCCCCAGGTTGAGGGGGTTCAGTCCCACAAGACTGCCCCCACTTTTTCCAGTGCCAGTTGGAAGCCCCAGGTTGTTTACCTGTGCTTCTGACCAGGTGGCCATACGTAGAGGTTACCAAGACCTCCTTCTTGGGTTCGATTAATTTGCTAGAGTGGCTCACAGAACTCGGGGCAAACATTTACCACTTTATTATGAAGGGCATTTTAAAGGATGCAAATGAACAGCTACATGAAGAGATATGTAAGACAAGGTCTGGAAGGGTCCTGAATGCAGGAGCTTCCATCCCCGTGGAGTTGGGGTGCGCCACCTACCCAGCTCCTGGATGTGTTCTAGTTTACCTTCCTGGAAGCCCTCCAAACTCCGTGGAGACTTCCTTATGATTAAGTCATTGGCCATTTGTGATCTGCTCTGTCTTCAGTCCCACTCCCTTCCGCTTCTCTATGGCTACCACCTGAGTTCTGACTCTACTTTTTCTTAGGCTACTGCAGTAACATAGGAACCATTTCTTCTTTCTTCCAGTTTTCATACAACAGATGTAGAACCTCTCCAGTGACTTCTTATCACATGTTAGGACAAGTCCACTGCCCTTCTACCGTGGCCTACAAGGCCAGTGCCACCATTTTTCTTACAGATTCTACATTAATCTTACTGACTTTCTTGTTTGCATCAAGTTTGCCAGCCTCTTTTCTCATTAGACCAGGCCCTCTGGGATGCTTTCCTTCAACAAGTTTGGATGGCTTATTCCTTTATCTTCGTTTTGGTTTCTGCCTGAGTCACCACCTCAGAGAGGCTTCTTTGACACCCTACCTGAAATAGTATTCGCCACTCCATTACTTTTTATTCTCTTTTAGGGCTTTATATTTTTAGACCACTGAGCACCACCAGATATATTTTATTTATTTGTTTATAGTATATGTTCATCATAAGAATGTAACATCCATGGGGACAGGGATTTTTGTTTGTCTTACTCTTCTTGTACCTAGAAATAGTGTCTAATACAGCTTCCACATGTTGTTGAGCCTGTGGGTGCACAGAAGTCAAGAATTGAAGTTTGGGGACCTCTGCCTAGATGTCTGATGTGTGGAAATGCCTGGATGCCCAGAGAGAAGTTCGCTGCAGGGGCAGGGCCCTCATGGAGAACCTCTGCTAGGACAGTGCCGAAGGGAAATGTGGGGTCGGAGTCCCCACACAGAGTCCCTACTGGGGCACTGCCTCACTGAGCTGTGAGAAGAGGGCTACCGTCCTCCAGACTCCAGAATGGTAGATCCACCAACAGCTTGCACCATGCACCTGGAAAAGCTGCAGACAGTCAACGCCAGCCTGTGAATGCAGCCAGGAGGGAGGCTGTACCCTGCAAAGCCACAGGAGCAGAGCTGCCCAAGACCATGGGAACTCACCTCTTGCATCAGCATGACCTGGATGTGAGATCTGGAGCCAAAGGAGATCATTTCAGAGCTTTAAAATTTGACTGCGCCGCTGGATTTCAGACTTGCATGGGCCCTATAACCCCTTTGTTTTGGCCATTTTATCCCACTTGAAATAGCTATATTTACTCAATACCTGTACCCCCACTGTATCTAGGAAGTAACTAGCTTGCTTTTGATTTTACAGGCGTGTCATAGGCAAGAGGGACTTGCCTTGTCTCAGATGAAACTTTGTACTGTGGACTTTTGAGTGAATGCTGAAATGAGTTAAGATGTTGGGGGACTGTTGGGAAGACATGATTGGTTTTAAAATGTGAGGACATGGCTCAAGCCTGTAATCCCAGCACTTTGGGAGGCCGAGACGGGCGGATCACAAGGTCAGGAGATCGAGACCATCCTGGCGAACACGGTGAAACCCCGTCTCTACTAAAAAATACAAAAAACTAGCCGGGCGAGGTGGCGGGCGCCTGTAGTCCCAGCTACTCAGGAGGCTGAGGCAGGAGAATGGCGTAAACCCGGGAGGCGGAGCTTGCAGTGAGCTGAGATCCGGCCACTGCACTCCAGCCCGGGCGACAGAGCCAGACTCCGTCTCAAAAAAAAAAAAAAAAAAATGTGAGGACATGAGATTTGGAGGAGTTGGGGCAGAATGATAAATGGTTTTGCTGCGTCCCCATTCAAATCTCAACTCGAATTGTATCTCCCAGAATTCCCACATGTTGTTGGGGGGTACCCATGGGGAGGTAATTGAATCATGGAGGCTGGTCTTTGCTGTGCTATTCTCGTGATAGTGAATAAGTCTCATGAGATATGATGGGTTTATCAGGTGTTTCCACTTTTGCTTCTTCCTCATTTTTCTCTTGCCGCCACCATATAAGAAGTAACTTTCACTTCCCACCACGATGCTGAGGCCTTCCCAGCCATGTGGAACTGTAAGTTCAAGTAAACCTCTTTTTCTTCCCAATCTTGGGTCTGTCTTTAACAGCGGCGTGAAAACGGGCTAATACAGTTGTATTCCCTGTTGAGATGCTGTTTAGTAATATTTCATGTAAGATAAATATCTGCCTATTAATGATATTATGTGCATTCAGCTGCGTAAGTACCTGGACATTATTCTTGGCTATCGTCTGTAGCTGTCCACACTTTATCAATTATCAAGCCTTGTTTTATGTACTTTGGAAATGTATCTTAAAGTTTGTTCATGTATGACCCCTCTTTGGCCTTGGCACTTTTCTTTATTTATTACATGGGTATATTGATACAGCCAACTTAATAGGTTTGTTGTGATGATTAAATAACCCCTTTGTTTTGGCCATTTTATCCCACTTGAAATAGCTATATTTACTCAATACCTGTACCCCCACTGTATCCCACCTGAGTTCTGACTCTACTTTTTCTTAGGCTACTGCAGTAACATAGGAACCATTTCTTCTTTCTTCCAGTTTTCATACAACAGATGTAGAAC